CAGTCGATCGCGCCGAAGCAGTTTGGGAAACCCTTGTCACGGAATGCGCGCAGAATTTGCGCACGTCTACGGCCAACTGGCCACTTGATAGCGTCGGGGTACGCCCGCAGCAGCACTGAAGTGACGTCGCAGACGGCCTGCAGTCCAGTTGCCCTGCCGATGCCGAAGGACGAAGTGCCGCTCTCGTACGTCTCTCCTGACGCCCACCTGTACAACGCAAAAGCGATCACCTGCTCCACTGACAAAGGCATCCTGTAGTGCGTCACCTTCTTCTCCACGTACACGGCACACGCGGCAACGATCTGCCTGAACATGGCCAATGACATGCGCAACTTCTGCCGGTAATACTCATCCGTCGCGTCATCACAGAGGCGGAAATCCTCCCATGTCCCGCCAGTCCGTCGTTTGATCCACCAACGCGGGGTCCGCCGCGGGAAAACGCCAGATGACAACGCGACGCACAACTGGATGACTGCCTCACACGTCGCCACGCAATCCGGCGCTTCGGCAATGCGCTGCAACAACGCTCTTCATTTTCGGAGCTGTGTCAGCATGTCGCTTGAGGACGACGACATGCCGCCCATCGTGTTCACGACGACGGCAGTGACCGCCATCGCGACCTCGTCGATCTCCTCTTTGCGCAGACCGTGCCCGCTGACGCGAAGATCCATCTCTGGGAATCTTCCTCCCCGAAGAGCGTGACGCCTGCCAAAAATGCCGAAGACACGCTTGCTGCTGAACCAAGTGAAGAGAGACACGCACACCGGACCCGTAGATGCGGCTGCTGACGTACGCTGCAACAGAAGATGGCGTGCGTCGGAGTCCACAAGATAACACACAGCGATGGTGGCGACGATGCGCCTTGCCGGAAGTTGCCCCCGCTGCTCGCAACTCGCGTGGACTCGAAAAATGGATACCCGCGCCGAACGCTTCGCCAGCGCCATCTTTTGTACGTCAGACGCGTCGCCCGGCCGTCCTCCGCCCCTGCCGCCTTGCGTCCGCGAAAATTCGAATTTGAATTTTTCAAGTTCGGTGTGACCGCGCTTTTCACCCACCCCTCCTCGCCCGCCCAAGGCCTCCGCAGTGTGTACCACGGACACCAGCCAGGACCCGGCGGACATCGGCGACGTGGCTGCGTATACGAATATGAGAACGGGCCGCGGGAGACCTTTTAGGACGAATCCTAAAAGACGATTTTTATGACTGCATGTAACGGCGCTGCACGGAATCCTAAAAATCCTTTAGGACTCGTCCTAAAAATTTTAGGATTATTTTAGGAGCGTCTAACGGGACCCTTAGCCCCGAGTTTTATTTTAGTTAGAGAGGAAGGAGGTCATGGGACCTAGCCCCGGATTTTATTTTAGTTTTTTTAGTTTTCTCTCAGTGGGTACACCCATGAACTGTTGAAAGATAGACCTGTGTTCGAATCCAGATTACGGAACTTGCTAGGTTAAACCAACTACTAATGAATTGCTTGGGGGCTGGTCAGCTCAATGATAATATCTCAAGGTCGTCTCCCTTAAAAAAAAGTAAGTCTGGTCTCACGTAACGCTCTCCTTGAGGCCTGGCTGCCGTGTTGGGAAAACGCCATCCCATGTTGAGCGCGGCATTGTGTGGGCAGTAGTGGCTGGCGGGGTCGCAAATATCCAGGTGCATGTTCGAACACAAGTACATAGCTGCAGACTCCGAGTTACTTTTTTTTTCTCTTTTTGGGCGGCTTTTGGCCCCACGTGCAGTTGGTTGGCGGGCTGTTTTGTTTTGTGCTTGAAGAAAGAAGATCTGAAGACAAGTACATAGTTGCAGGCTGTGATTTTTTTTTTTTTGGAAAGGTGCTCAATATGTTGCCAAAAATGGAAAGAGGCCAGGGACCTCACAATTCGACCTGGAGGAACTTCTGGGCCCATTACCCAGATTCGGCTAATATTGGAAACCGGGTCCGGTGTCCCTGAAATAGCTATTCCTCTAAATGACCTTCCAAAAAATTAACCTTTAAGCACAAGAAAATTCAATAAGACCTTGAACGACCATTTCGTCAAAATGAACATTTTTTATTTTTTGAACGAAATTGAAACTGAGTTTTTTGGCCGAAAACTCGTCAAAATTTGTTATTATTGAGGTCCAGCGTTCGTAAAACGCTGGACCCCCTAGCTGTACATGGACCTAGATTGAGACCAAGCTCCTCCAGGCAGGACTGTCGGGAGGTACCTGGTCTCAAGCTAGGTCCATGTACAGCCAGGGGTCCAACATTTTACAAACGCCGGACCCTCAGGAACAGTAAATTTTGACGAGTTTTTGCCCAAAAAACTCGGTTTCGATTTCGTTCAAAAAATAAAAGATGTCAATTTTGATGAAATGGCAGTTCTTGTGGATTCCAACCTTTCTTCCAACCATCCAACTTGCAATGCCATTGCGTTGAAAGAGGGAGAAACCTAATGCGGCTTACCACCCCCCGAAAGCCTGATAAATAACGACCGACTATGACAGCTCCATCCTATCAATCTTATCCAAGAGCGAAAGCTATGAAGGATTCAGCCACTTACAAATCCCCAACTTTCTATCTGTAGTGACTGCTGCAATCTATTTGGTTCGTGCCCATGTCTTCAGGAACCAGTGAAAACCTTTTTTTTTGCTTTTGAAGCGGCCTTGCCAATCCGCCAAATCATACTTCGTACGCTGCTTTGTACTTGCTGCTGCTGTTCTTGAATTGAAATTTTGACCTTTTTGAAAACCACAGAGTTCCTTGCTCTCCAGATTTCCTGGATTATTACTCCTCTACAAACCATCGCTACATAGCCTCAACCTTCCTTACATGATGAGCCCTTCCAGGGCAAAATGCCATATAGTGTCTAGTCATCCGTCCACGGCCACGCCGGCCCAGTAATCAAGTTCCAATGGTGCGTCCACAGAACCAGCCATTCTTGAAGCTGCAAACCTGTCATCAGATCCGGATCCAGAACCCTCCAGACCATCCCTAGATCGTCCTCTCAGTACACCCATGAGTCTACTCCCTGTTCAACATCCCCTCTCAGCAAGTGGACCCAATCCCCAGGAATTGCCTTTATTAAGTTTGAT